GAAGTGGAAAACCAATTGAATTTAAAGATAAAAATGATTCGGGGTGATAGGGGTGGAGAATATAAATCTCCTTTTGCAGAGATATGTTTGGAATATGGTATTATTCATCAAACTACTGCACCTTATACACCACAGTCAAATGGTTTGGCAGAACGGAAGAACAGAACATTAAAGGAAATGATGAATGCCTTAATGATCAATTCTGGTTCACCGCGAAATCTTTGGGGGGAAGCCATCCTTACAGCTAATAAAATACTCAATAGAGTACCCCATCGAAAAACACAATCAATTCCATATGAGTTGTGGAAAGGAAGAAAACCCAACTTGAAATATTTCAAAGTGTGGGGGTGTTTAGCCAAGGTAGAGGTTCATTTACCTAAGAGGGTTAAAATTGGACCCAAAACAATAGATTGTGTCTTTATTGGGTATGCTGTGAATAGTAAAGCCTGTCGATTTTTGGTTCACAAATCTGATAATCCTGAGATTCATGTTAATACGATAATTGAATCAGATAATGCAGAATTTTTTGAAAACATATCCGTATAAAACTGAAAGTGAGTCAACAAGTGAAAGACCTAAACGACCACGAGAAGAATCAATGGAAAATATTCTAACTAGTGAGGAACATAGGCGAAGTACTCGACAACGAAAATTTGTTTCTTTCGGACCAAATTTTGTAATACTATTGCTTGAAAATGAGCCTCAAACATTTAAAGCAGTTATGTCTTCGTCAGAGTCAACTTATTGGAAAGAAGCAGTCAATAGTGAGATTGAATCAATTTTAAGCAATCACACTTATTTCCTCCAGGAAATAAATCTTTAGGATCAAAATGGATCTTTAAAAGGAAAATGAAACCTGATGGGACTATTGACAAATATAAGGCTAGACTGGTAGTCAAAGGGTACAGACAAAAGGAAGGTCTGGACTACTTTGACACATATTCTCTAGTAACAAGGATAACATCAATTAGGATGTTAATAGCACTAGCAGCAGTGCATGATCTTAAAATCCACCAAATGGATGTAAAGACATTTGGTGGAAGAAATTTACATGGAACAACCTGAAGGGTTTATAGTTCCTGGTAAAGAAAAGAAAGTGTGCAGACTTGTGAAGTCACTTTATGGACTCAAGCAAGCACCTAAACAATGGCATGCTAAATTTGATCAAATAATGTTGGCAAGTGGATTCAAGATTAACGAATGTGATAAATGTGTTTACATTAAAAACGTTATGAATCATGAAGTCATTGTTTGTTTGTATGTTGATGACATGTTAATAATGAGTAAAGAAATTGACGATATAAATGCTACTAAGCGCATGTTGTCCAGCAAGTTCGATATGAAAGACTTAGGAGTTGCTGATTTGATCTTAGGGGTCAGGATTATCAAAACTCCCCAGGGACTAGCATTATCTCAATCTCATTATATTGAAAAAGTATTGGATAAGTTCAATTGCTTGAATTTCAATGTAGTCAAAACTCCAATTGATTTAAGTTGTACATTTAAAAACAATGAAGGTCAAAGTGACTCTCAATTGAAATATGCTAGAGTGTTGGGAAGTTTGATGTATATTATGAATTGCACGCGACCAGATATAGCATGTGCTATTAGTAAACTGAGTCGGTACACTAGTAATCCAAATCAAACTCACTGGATGGCTATGAAACGTGTGTTGGGTTATCTAAAATGGACACAAAATTATGCTTTGCATTATAATAAATATCCTGCTGTGATTGAAGGATATAGTGATGCAAATTGGATCATCGGGTCAAATGATGTAAAATTCACGAGTGGTTATGTATTCATACTTGGTGGAGGAGCTGTCTCTTGGAAATCTTCCAAACAGACATGTATTGCTCGCTCCACAATGGAATCTGAATTCATTGCTTTGGATAAGTCTGGTGAATAAGCGGAATGGCTCCGGAATTTGCTAGAGGATATTCCATTCTGGCCCAAACCTGTTGGACCAATTTGCATACATTGCGATAGTCAAGCAGCAATAGGTAGGGCAGGGAGCGTTATGTACAACGGAAAGTCTCGTCATATACGACGTAGACATAACACCATAAGACAACTGCTCTCTAGTGGAATTATCACAATTGACTATGTAAAGTCAAGCGATAATGTGTCAAATCTACTAACGAAAGGCCTAGTGAGAGAGGTAGTTGAAAGATCATCTAAGGGAATGGGTTTACGGCTTAGGACAAGTCAGCGTGACCGTAACTCTATCTAGCAGACTGGAGATCCCAAGAGCTAGATTCAAGGAGAAAAACAAAGTTGTGGCTGACGGTTCGACATTGTCAATTAACTCAATCCATTCTCATGATGAAGACAATGTTCAGGAAAAGGTTAAGACTTTAAGGCTTGTTAATGAGGTAATAAAGCTTAAAGTTTTTATTGATTTGCTAAGTTTGGTAGATTTGATCAAATAGTGTATCTACGAGATGACACGGTTTGAAATCACCTATGTGAGTGTGAAGTGAAAGCCGCTTCAAAGAGAATTTTATGTCAAAAACCTATTCTCTATACACTCATGAAACCAGGAGGTGTTCATGGCTGAAACGAACACAACCGTAAGAATCATAAACAGTAAAGGGTTAATTGTGTGACATATGGTTGTCTAGGTATACACCGAAGTTCGACGGTTCAAAGATATCACATCTACCGATTGACCGAGTATATCCGACATATGTTCACTACGGAAAGTCCAAGGGGAAACCTACTTATCCAGATGCAATTAATCATTGCTTGTAAAGTACACAATTGTTCGTGCATTCCTATGTTATAACTATTCCCCATCAATGTGGGGGATTGTTGGGTATGTAGCAAGAATTAATGGGAAATAGAGGGAAGGAGAGGAATTTGAAAAGTTTAGAACTTGAAAGGTTGGGAACTTGAAAAGTCCTCTAATGCTTTATTGAAAAAGGCAATAGTCCCTCATCAGTAATGGAAATGAAAATAGGAGAGTTTAAATAAATAAACACTCCTATTAATTGTTAAAAGGGTTGGAAAGAGGGACCCCCCTCGCGCCGTCGTCGTCGTCGCTCGCTTCAGCTTTGGCTTTGGCAAATGATCGATCGAGAGATAATTTTTTGGACAAAATTTATTTTAATTATTTATTAATTAATTTAAATGGCCAAAAATTATTTTCAATAAATTAGTTGATAACAGAATTTAACCGAAATATTTTCAACTCTTTAGTTAACCCGATCCGACTCGGATCCGCGCGAGTGACCCGTTTTAAATTCCGTTATATTCAAAATTTCCCGCCATGACTGTTCTGAAAGGTTGCAACTTTCAGGAACAGTCAATACCATTTGAAAGTTTGCAACCTTTCATTAATGGTCGTGTCAATTCTGAAAGGGTAGCAACCTTTCAGAATATATTATTCTTGCCTATAAATACCATTCAGTCTTCAGAATATTTCCTAACGAAATTTTCTGATCTTCCTTCTTTTTAAAAACACATATATTTCTTCGTGTACTTTATTGCTGTGGATTGATTCTCTGACAGTAGAGTTTTTGGTATCTATACTCTACTAATTAAGATCATTTTACCCTGGAGGTTATATTCCAAATCAAACTTCGGATACTAGAGGGGAATAATTTCCTTAAGGGGACACTGTGAATTCAGTGGACTTGATTTTCTTCCTGAATTTTTCAAAAGAGTATTCCAAATTCTGGTAAGTTTTACAGATTAAATTATTTTTTACAAATAAATTTATGTTCATCTTATTTACTGGTTCTAAAAATCTCAGATTACTTCGTGTTTCTGAATGATTTATTACAACCAGTAATTTCTGTTTTTCTTAACACAGATTGGCAACACAAAATAGCAACAGATCACAAATCTCGTTGGTTAGCAATGCTTGCTTGTAGTCATGGTTTTTCTACTTCTGAAGTAGAGCTTTATTGAACTTATGATATGCCAAAAAATAGAAAATTGTTCTCTTAAATAATAATAATAATTTGCCGCAAACTCTTTCTTTTTGTCCCTGCAGAAGTTAAAGTAAGTGAAAGATACAACGTAAACAAAAGTAGAGGGAAGTTGCATTGACATCCAGCATGCATACACAAACTATGATAATCATAACATGCACAAGACACATCTAACTACACCCACATGGATTTTCCCTTGGCTTTTCTACTTTTTTTGTAAATAAATTATTTCATCTACACATTAGTGCACGCCCTCAAGACACCTCCATAAGTAAATTGATGCTATGAAGGGCCTAGATCAGTACTGGCAAAGCAGTCCAACACTGAATTAAGTGGTTATGTGTGGGATCCGGGTTGATAAATAGAGATTTGGGAGAGCAAAATAGGTTGATGTGAATTATGATTGTGCTTAGACAAAGATGTGTGCCTGTCATCCCCAATTCTCTCTTAGTCCCCTCATATCCTTCTCCTTTATAGTTACTGTTATTTTTCGTGTTCTTCGTATTGTAATTGCTCATTTATGTATGAATCAAAACTTATTAGTTAGTTCTCTGTTGTTTATTGTTGAGTTGAGGAAATCACTATAACCATTTTATTGTTTGCTACAACTGATTTGCCCACACAAACAAATACATCAAGGGATAAATGACAGTTCTTTCAGGCAATATATTACACTATTTCAGCCAAACTCAATTTATCAGCTCAATTCAATTTGACTCGCCCAAATTCAGTTCAATCGACTCATTCGATACCTACCAATAGTTATAAGATTTCAGGGAAGGCAATTTACTACATTCCTATTTATCATTCTTTTGCATGGATAGTTTTTCCCTTTCTCTACAGAAAAACCGTTGTAGCAAATGAACTAAAAACCGCTACCATTATTTTCGATTGGATTAAAAAAAATACACTCATAAAATAATCGTATTATTTCTCCAATAATTTAATGCGACAAAATAATAATGTAACTTTAACTAATAATTATAAAATAGAAACAATATTAACTAACATTAAAGGACTAATTAATTACACAATTTGAAACCATTCAAACAAAATAACATATTATTCCAACAAATATTTTTATAATACACCATTTTTTTGGTTCAGTGTAGTACTACTGCATACATTATACATGAAAGAATATCAACTTAGCTACAAAATTGTTCTTGGCTTTAGATAGTTCGATCTTTTAGGCAGTGTTCGTCTAATCGGTTGGCATCTCAAAGCGGCAAAGCGGACAGTAATGGCTATTTTGTAACCACTTTGTAATACACTCAGCATGAAACATATGAGAGCAAGGCAACCGCAGTACATCAGTTTCCTCACCTAGCTCATCTAGACATATCAAACACTCATCGTTGCTATTTCTTTCATCGGCTTCCATCGGCTCTAGCAACTCTATTGATGATTCACTAGCCGGTACCATTCCATCCACGGACGATGATTCTTCCAATGCTGACAAAATTCTACCATCGCAACAGTGATCAATCTGTAAGTCCACGTCCACACATACCTCTGACATCTCAGAAGTAATATCAATCCCTTGCAACTTACGAATTGTTTCTTCAACTATAACGTGTTGTTGATCTTCAAACTTGTCCATTAACAGTTGTGATATAGCGTGATGGAGTTTCTCATAGAACATGATATCGGAAAGATGAATAATAATTTGGGTCGACTTGGTTGAAGGGTCCCATGTTCCACCTAGGTGTACGAATTCATGATCATTAGGTCTTATATACCAACATTGGTGTAGTACACGGAAATTAAAGTGAATGGTTAAATAGGGTAACGAAGAAGAAGAAGAAGAAGAAGAAACAATTGGTTCAACGCTAACAAAAGAGTTGTTGGAGCAGTCATGGCATACAAACTCTGTTGGAAACATATTGCAATTTTTGAGAGAAGAAGAAACGAATATATTTTTTTTTACTAATGGGAGACTTACTCCATTTCAAGTTTATTTATAATATTACTATCAAACCTAAACTGATTAGGAAAAGGATTAGTGAGTTTCTATATTAAAAAAGGAAATACTTGGGGGGGAATTTAGAGAAGTACACGTTTTTAGGGGAATACTACATAAATTGGAAACTTCAAATATTATTTGGAGTTCTATTTATGGAAAAGAGAACACGTTTTGAAAATACTTTATAAATTGGGAACTTTAAATGCTTTTTTTTTTTTTGGTAACTAATATTTTGAGTTTTTATTTATGGAAAAGAACACGTTTTGGAAAGTAGTACATAAATTGGAAACTTAAATATTATTATTTGTATTTTTATTTATGAAAAAGTAACTAAATTTTTTTGGCAGATTGTTACTTACCAATGCTCTTCTCACTATGACTCTTCCAGGCTAATAAGACCATAATTTCCTTTACTAAATTCATATAATGCCAGTCAAGTGCATGCCCACAAGACACTTCTATGCTAGCGTTTGGCCATAGATTTCTAAATATTCTTGGCAAACATTATTTGAGTGAAAATTTGGGTGAAATTTCACCATGTGTTTGGCCATAAAATTTGGGAAATATTTTTTTTACCTTTTTAGAAAAATATGATTTTTACGCACAAGTTTTAAAAACTATCAAAACTAACTAAAAGTTTGTATTACAAGTCAATTGAATGTTCGTTACAACAATAACAAATAATGTCCATGACACTAAAGCAATGTGGTAATTTGGAGTGAGTGCAACAAGAATTATTCCATACATCGTGAAGTAGACAAAGTAAATGACTTTGTTACCTAAAGCCAATTTTTAATAATTTTCATCAACAATCATATCATTATTTAATATTCACTAAATATTTTATCACTATTTTGGTGTTCACGTAAAAATGATGTAATACAACGCAAGCAACAACTAGAGAGGGTGTTTTTATAAATGATAAAAGATTGGGGTAAAATTTTAATTTTTAAAATATCCCAAATAATGAGATTTGGCCCAAATACTAGAAAAAACTAGTATTTGGAAATTTGGGATATTTGCCAAAAATATTTGCCAAATAATGGCAAATTGTATGGACAAACATTATTTGCCAAATTTTTCCCAAATATTATTTGGAAAATTTATGGCCAAACGGTATGTAAACTGATTTTTCCTCGCCCCTTCCCTATGCATATCTACAAACACGGTAAGGTCATTTGGTTGGAAATAAGTTATCGAGGATAACTAATTCTGCGATAAGCTATTGGGATAATCCAAGAACAAAAGGTCGTTTTATTCAAAACCCCAATTGTGAACCCTCCAACCAAATGTGGGACAAGATAATTCTATATTTTACCTCACCCCAAACAATTCCTAAGTGAATACCTATTTTGAGTTTAGCCATGTCATCAGCATAGTCAGACCCACATGCAAAGTTGAGGATGCACGTGGACTTATTAACTTCAGAAAACTGAAAGAAATTAGGATATGGAGTAGTTAACAGAGCACCTATGAGGAACCTAGGAGTACCTGCGCGACCAATGTTCGAATCAAACTAAAGTCATATTTTGTTGTTGTTATTTTATGTTACTATGTATTATCTTTTCGAAATTGTAACACAAATTTAATTACTCCGTTTATGATCTTTAATAGTAAACAAAATTAATAATTAATTCTATCATTATTTTTTAAGTAAAGTATTACACAAACTCGAAAGAAAAAAAAAAGAACATCGAAAATAAATTAAATAATCTCTAAATAGTACTTTAATAATAACAAAAGTACAAAATTATGTTGACATTAAATTTATTACTCCGTTGGCATCGCAAAGCGGCAAAGAGGACAATAATGACTTTTTTCTAACCACCTAATAATACATTCTCCATGAAATATATGCGAGCAAGGCATGCATAGTGCTTCACTCTCCTTGTTGATTTCACTTAGACAAACTATACACTCATTTTTTATTGATGATTTACTAGCCGGCACCATCCCATTGAATAACTCTTCTGATGCATGTAAAGCTCTATCACAAAAGTGATTAATCACTAAAGTTACATTAACACATGCCCCCAACACTTTACGACGACAATTATAATTACATTTTGTTATAGTCATCAGTCTTGTCAATTGTCGAGTTGTACGATCAAGTATAGAACCGCGTTGATCTTCAAACTCATGCGTAAGCATATTTGATATAGCGTGATCGAGTCTCTTATAGAGCATAATATCAGAAAGATTGAGAATGACTTGGGACGATCCAGTTGAATCTTCAAATGTACTATGTATGAGTACGGTTCGATTATTGGATTGTATATCCCAAACCTTCGTATGAATATTAAAGTTAAAGTGTACACTTAAATAAGGTGAAGAAGAAGAATATGAATCAACAATTGGGGGAATACCGATCAAATTATTTTTTTTGGAAATTGGCTTGATTTGATGAATGAATTTGTTGACCTACTATGGGATACGAAGTTTTCGGGCACCATATTGTAAAACTTTAAATTAGAACTCAAGTAAACGTTATAATAAAACTCAAAGGGGTCGTGTGATTTATTTATACTATAATTTGACAATCAAATCCATAACCAACTATAATTTCAATTCGAAAGTCTATATTTGGCACTATTTGTTACTATTGCAATTATGAAAACCTATATTTGATAGGACAAGGATTTGTTACTTGCCAATAAAGTCATTGTTTTCCTAATTAGGTCTTTTAGATATTTGGAAACTACTATAAATTATAATTTCATTCAAATAAATATGACAAAAATTACATTTTTTAAAATACAAATAATTGAAATCTCGAAAAATAACGGAAAGAAAAGTGATATGCTACAAGACTAGTTAGAGATTTACTAATATGTTACAAAGTTTTGGTATGTTCAAATTATCGTTCTCCTGAAATAGATGATGTTGTAAATTGGATATTAAGGTGTTGAGCGAAAAATAATTTCAGTTCTTTCACCTCATTTTCTAGGGCACGCAAGCGATCCATCATAGATCGGTTGTCGTCTTTAGTTGAATGTAACTGGGGAAGTAATTCAACCTTTGAGGAAGCGCTACCTTTCAAAGATTGGTTTTCCTCTCGAATTGAACGTAACTCAGATAGTAATTCAGCCTTTGAGGTAGGGGGACCTTTCAAGTCTTTCGCTTTTACTCCACCTCCAAACCCAAATACATGGCTACGAATTTGAGGTCCAAAGCATTGTTCCACTATCTCTATGCTAGGAAGAGATGGTTTAGATTGCACCAATTCTTGGAGCTGAGCCTACACATAAATAGAGAAACATTTCAGTCAGAACCATAATAAGTAAAAGTAAGCTTACATTGTTCAATAAATGGAACATACATGTTTTTCAACTGCCTCAGATTCGACGAGCTTGTTATCCTTCTTCCGAGTCTCGAAGAAAATAGTTGCTAAATCTGGTGGGTTGCCATTTTTCCCGCCCTTCATGTCAAATAACACCTCTCAATATTTCAAAAAGAAAAAGAGAAAAGGGATAGGAAATTATGACACCACCTTTTGATAAATAATTTCTCTAATAGGCTTGCTACCGGTATGATGAGGCATCTTCAACTTAGCTCTGTTGGCCGAGTTCCTGTTGCTTCTCGCCTATATTTGTGGAACATTACATATAAATATCATGAATAAAATCTCAATTGAAAGACAATAGCATGAAAATGAAATTACACCACCACTAGGCATTATGTCAAACCTGAAAAGTTTCTGAAGAAAAATGTTCTTTTATCAACCATTCCCATTGTTTCTTGTCAACGCCCTTTGGTGTATTCTTAAGAGCCTCTAGGATTGGCTTACCTTTCACATACTTAAAATGTAATTGTCCTCTCCATTTGTTCCACAATTCTTTCATCCATCCCAAAATGTGACCCCGGTGACTATCCATATCATCACTCTCAAATTTATCCTACAATAAATCAAATTTTTTGGTTAAGATAAATGTCATATTTTAGTAAACAAATAATCCATACATAAAATATTTGCTGCATATGAAAACAGAACTGCAGAGATCATCTTCCTGCCAGTACCAAGTATGATGAAATTACAAGATTATTGATGCACACAGCAGAGGATCCCCCGCTGTTTCACTCATAGATTCAACATAGATGATATGTAGACTAGAGTGTCATATATGATACATGCACAACTCCAAAAAGATTGACTGTATCTCTAATGTGCCATCTAGCGAAGAGTCCAGTTTTCTGCTACGTAACAAGTTTTTAAAATTTTATCTATGCATTACTCCAAAAAACAGATTATCACTAGCAGTATCTATTTCCGGAACACCAGATTAGAATAAGCCAAAATCAATAGCTAAACCTCTACTTGCAAAAAGTACAAAAAAGAACCTTTTCAGGGATCAAGACTATTGCGCATCCCTTTTTCACTTATAATAATCTCTACTGTAAATTATCACGCCCAATCACTTCCCTCACAAGAAAAACCATGTGTATTTCCATTTTTGGGCTTACTGCTCCATATTAAGGGGAGGGTCCTGCTTCAAGCATAACCAGTTTAGGAAGGTGATTGAACCAAGAATATGGGCAATAAGACAATCGATGAGCTCCTTGTTATACCCCCTTTTCTATGAGATGAGAAAGAGAGACCGTGTAGTGGATCAGCTCCCTTTTTGTTTTAAGAAACTGCAAGTCTGTAACTATTAAAATGAAAAAGTAAAAGGTAAAGCAGCTTTTAACCAGTCAAAAGTGGTACAACCAGGATATTCTTTAAAGAAACATGGTGAATTCTTGTTTACTGTATCTAATAGTTGCATATTGATACCAAGTAAGGAATATTAGTTTATTTTTTTCCAAGTAGCAACCCGTACAATGCCACTAACAAGAAGGCTAGTACAAATTTAAAGGACATTTGTCAAAATGCAAACACAAAATTGAGGTCCAGATCAAGCTCAATTGCACATTCTGCTCTAAGCCTCTATCAAACTACAGAGTCCTCAAAGCTTTCTTAATAAAGCCCTAAACCTACTCCATGACACCATCACATCTATTACACCAATTTGGCTAACATAAACCTACAAATTGACAATTATGTTGTCCACATAAGCAAACAGTGTTTTTAAGGTAGCAAAGAGCCGATAGGCAAATTGAACACGTGTTACCTCAACAGCTGCCCACATGTGATTTAACTTTTCTTCCTCAATTTCATCCCATGATGATACTCCTAATGGACACATGCTATGATCACGAACTAATTTTCCCAAGTGCCTGGAAAATAGATTGCTATTCCTTCCAACAGTTCGATTATTATAAAATGTCACTTTCAGCTTCTGTCCGGCTTGAAGTGATGCAACTTCTTGGCACTTGTTCTGTCCTCGACCTCTTCTTACTTTTCCGGTAGTACATGAACCTACATTTGCATATAATTTAGAAATGTCTGAAATGTTATGCAAAAAATAAAAAAGCCATATACATAAATTTATGATTATACCATATATTCTTTCCAACTTCATACTTGAATTCATGTTTAGTAAATACTTTAGCATTATAATTCAGTCATGCAAATTCGTAACACAGTAGAATTGCAAGATCATACTTGTTTCAACATTTAGAGTGTCTTGAATAATTTGATCGGTAGAAGGAGACGATGTAATCTCAATTTGCATTTGTTCTTTGTCATGAACCAAGGGGTGCTTATTTGTTCTCTGCATTTCTTGACCAGTAGATGTGGTAGGATCTGAACTTGTACCAGTAGAATGAGATGGCATACTTTCACCAGAATAATCAGAAATGGTAGCATCTGAACTAGTACTATTAGAAGGCGTTGCCATATTTTGACCAGAGTAAAGAGAATTTTGATGGAAGGATCCTACATCATTTCCAGATGCCCCCAAAGAGCGCATAGATCTAACATCCTGTTCTTTGCCTCGTCCCTCACTTATAGCACCTGGTGAATCATTTCCAGACACCCCTAAAGTATACTTTTGAATTATTCCATAAACTTTCAAATGTGACTCGATTGTTTCGCGTGTTCCTACAGTTGTGTAGCAACATTTGACACATGGACATCGTATTTCATATAGTTCTTCTGTTCTTCCAAAAGCATAATCCAAAAACTTTTGCATCCCGATTAAGTAGGCTTCATCAGGTCCATTATCAACAAGTTGCTTCTGTCTATTATTAGGTGCCATAACCTTGGAGGCTTCGTCAGGTCCATTATCAACAAGTTGCTTCTGTCTCTTATTAGGTGTCATAACCTTGGAGGCTTCATTAGGTCCATTATCAACAAGTTGCTTCTGTCTCTTATTAGGTGTCATAACCTTCGAGGCTTCATCAGGTCCATTATCAACAAGTTTCTTCGGTCTCTTATTAGGTGTCATCACCTTGGGGATGCATAAAGATTAAATTAGAAAAATATAAAGCATACTAAAGGAAAGTACTAAGATGCATATAACTTCTAAGAAAAATTATATACCCGAAATATAAGAGAGATAATTCAAGGAGCCAGGTGTGTTGAGCTCGCAAGAAGCTACAAAAGTTTAGCCACAAGAAGCTGAGATTTCGAGAAAATGAACTAGGCTAACAACTATTTACTAATGACGTTACAGAAACTAAAACTAATGTATATATGTAAATTACTACAAAAACTGAATAAATCGTAAACATTAAGTTTCTATACACACGAGAAGTTGAGATATTTGAGAAAATAGGTTAAGATTTATAATAATTGACTAAGGATATTTCACAAACTAGAGCTAACGAGGTAATTATTACAATGGGTTAGGAGCGGAGCCACCATTAAAGCTTCGGGTTCAGCATAACCCAGTAACTTAAACTAAATTTTGTATTTGTATTAAAATTTTCATTTAATATTTACAAATAATCTATCCAGAACTGGCAGAACACAACAAATAAAAAAGGATAATTATCCAGAATGCATAAACTAAAAACACTGGTTCCGCCTCTAAATGGGGTGGTACAAATCCCTTTAATCTACAGACCATTGATGGAGAAAATCTTCACCTCTGCAAACACGAACTTGTACTTTGTAACCAAAGCAACTTTAAAGAGGGTAGAAGACATCACAATAAGATCAAGTTGGAGCCATCAGACCAGAATGAACCAAAGCAAAGTCATCCAAGACAACTTTAGATATCTGACCATACACAAAAAAATCAATCCCCAAATCACACTACACGTAGGACAGACTTTATCTGCTTCATGTGCAAATGATTTCAGCAGTGATGACCAAGTATTTTGGAAACATTGTCATTGTGTACAGAGACATAAGTGACAGCTAACATAGGTCAATCAATTACATTGATAGCATCTTCTGTTCATCTCAAGTAACTCATCTTACAATCTTAATGTCAACCATGATCTCTCTATATACTTATTGGTTACTTTAGTAATTGATGCAGAGAAGACACAAGTATCCCTACAATCATTTTAGTACATCAACTTTCATAATTAAGAAGAAACTCCAACAATACATGCATTACTCCACCTTTAAAACCAATAAAGTATTATATAAGATAAAAACCTACCAACATATTTTATGTTTCTAAATATGGGAATATATACATACAAGCAACAGACAGAAAACTCAATCACTCACTCACTCAACCACAAATAAGTAAAATCTCTCCAGTAACATTTCTACAATCTAAATCATTCTAAGTCAGCTAATTTCAACTACATGCATAAAAAATTTCATAGTAAAACAGCCACCAAGTTCACCAATTAATCTGTAAAAGAATATCACCAAGCTCAAGCAAATTCTTCTAGTTCAAAAAGCAAAAGTTAAAAAAATGCAACACACTTAAACAATCAACTAGGTGTTATTGTTCAAAAAAGGTGAAAAAACTACTGTACTGTAAGAAACACTAAAATCAACGTCCTTCACAATGAATTCATATAAAATGAGGATTTTCAACAATCACGGAAGAGATTATTCTGCTGCTGCTTTTTTTTTCATAATGTCAAAAACTTACCAGAGTTCCTCATTCAGTTTTCGATTTCGCCAGAAAATGATAGTCCATCTTTGAAAGACGATTGCACAGTTCAGGAACTTAACGTTGAGAGTAGCCGTCGCCGTCGCCGGAAAACGATTCTCAGCAGATCTCTGAAGAAAATCAAAATAGGGTTTTTAATTTCAGAAGAAAAATGAAATATGTTTCCTTTTTTAATTATTCGCTCGCGCTCAGTTTATAATTAGGGACCAGATATTGATTTTTACTCACCACATTTATATGATGGACCAACCCGTCAGATGGACTAAAAGGGGAATGGGCTCAGTGTAGAATTAGGGCCAAAAGCCCAAGTTTAACACTAACAATTTATCCATTTTATTTCGGTTATTTTGGAGAATTTACATAAATCGCACTAGTTTAGGAGTTAATCATTTAGATAAACTCTAGTTTGCGATATTATATATTCATACCAAATTTTGGTGCCTCTAGATACATGAAGTCAAATTTTGATGTAGTTTGTTCTAAATACATTGTTTCAAGTGGATTCACGTGTATCAAGATACATAACAAATCTCGCTCGCCTCTCTCCCATCTTGTTCGCCGCTCTTTCATGCATCTAGTATCCCAGTTACATGTGAATCACTTTGGATGCCTACATATTCACATGTATTTTAGATACATACGAATCTCGCACGCCTCCCTTCAAAATTTCGCTCAAATACATATATTCAAGTGCAAGATGTGTAAGAAAAAATTAATTAGTGGTAAGAAACATAGTATTTCAAAAGTTTAGGTATTAATAATATAAATGGTAGTGAAGTATGTCTTATTATGTGCTTTTTCCTTTTATTTCTTAACCAGATGATATCCAATGTAATAACAAAATTGAGCTAATTTCAAATATATACAATAAATTAATTGGTTTACGACAAATATAATAATGTTTGGCAATATAGACAGACTATACAATATATCTTACCTGTGCACAAGTTATATACTAACTATAAATAGACTATGCAATATAACTTGTTAAAAGTCATTGGCAATATAGACAGACTATACAATATATCTTACCTGTGCACAAGTTATATACTAACTACACAATATATTTTTTATATATATATGAGTTTTACATTGATTATACTATGCTCAAAAAGTTAAATATAATTTAATTAAACATGAATGATACACTAACTATACATATACACTGACAAATTCAATCTCGATCAACTCAAAATCACCACTAAGCAATCCTAAAAATTAGATATAAAATCCTCTTGTTATTTCGAGCATCTTGATATACAATTTGCTCGAGAATGATTCACATTCTCGATACATCGAAATAAAGACATTAAAATTTGAAATAAATTATACTTATGATTTATCAATTACATTTCTTTAGGGGCGTTTATTCGATTTCTCGATTTGGCTTTGTACTATTCGGTTTGAAATTTTTGATATTTGATTTTGAAGAAGTGTAACCCAATTCAAATCGAAATATATTCGGTCTGATTTAATTATTTGATTTTGTCAATAATTACAAACATAATCAATGATATATTTGCAGTTTAAAAATACGAGGAGGGGTTATAATGTTGAATCTCTTAAATATACTTTCTAACATAAATCACAAATAAAACGTAAACACAATATTTAAAAATATACCAATTACACATGTCCAAACATAGAAGACAAACTAAATCATAATGAAAGAAAAAATAACTAAAAATAATCAACTCCAATTTACTTATTTGATTTTTCGACTTAATCAAAATAATATACACCCCTACATTACTTTTCATCCTGAAATTATGATGATAAGTCTACTTAACGCATCCTAATACCTTTGGCTAATTCTATGTCTAACCTATCTTAGGGAGTAAATTTCGGTTCTAATTAAACTATTAAAACCTTAAACTAAAAGAAATTAAACAATATAGGTAGCTTCTTTGTGACATTGCGTACATAGGCAAATACATAAAGAACGTGGACTTATTGTATGTTTCAATTTAATTATTGGATTTACTTTTTTTAGTCTGTTTCTAAAAATATTATTTTATATATTTTTTAAATAACATGTCTAAAATCATAATATTTGTATATATTTCTAATTTAAAATGATGAATAAAAGAATTTCTTTTTAAAATTAAGTATCAGGATTAAATTAGATAAAGAAATTAAAATAAAAATATATGATGCTGATTTCTTGTAAAAGCTTAAGACTTCAAATGTAACTAATGTTCTGTCAGCTTAATAGCTGGATAATTTTATTTTATTCTATTGTACCTCATTGTTGATTATTATAGTTTGTTTAGTACTTTTTACGTTCCAAGTTAGAGTTTAATAATATTAATATGTTAGTGAAAAAATTTAAATTTTATTTTGATTCAATAAAATTATTTTGCTTTTATTTGAGAGCTCGACTTTTTTGAATTCATAATGTCATATTCGAGTAAAAATGCTCTCGTTTAAAAAAATTTAAACTTAAAATCTCTGATTAAAAAAAGAGCAAACTCATCCACTATACCCATCGTTACCGTCTTCACATATTGCGTCCTTGCATTGAATTAGAAGTGGTTAACAAGAACAGAAATCGTCTATAAATATCCAATACTTTTTTGAGATCAAATGAACTCATTTTTTAAGGTGTGCATTATATCTCTCTCCTTCTCCCTCTCTTCTCACATACGTAAACGTATTTTTTTTAATTTGATTTCAATTGATATTTATGTCTTTTAATGCATAAGTAAATACTTAATTTTGTATAGAGTTGAGAAAACAGACATGTATGCTACGCGATGTTCTACATGATAATTCACGTCCTACATGTATTACTTTACGTAAGAAGTATACTTGTTTAAATATTTACTTATGCACGCCTAAAATTAAAAAATATGGATATCAAATAAAATTAAGTTAAAAAGTACATTTTAAAAATATTTCAAAATACATATTACGTATTTAATTAATTATACATCATGTTCTCCAACAAAACCTTGACTCCCTTTATTTTCTATTTATTGCACATTTTTCTTATATTTTCGTTGCATATATTATATAGTTTCCATGGCTAGCTCAACTAGTTGCAGTCAAGCTGACGGTACGTATATCAAAGTTACTTTTTTTTTTAATGATCATATAGCGATTTTATAAAAAATCTGCGTATATTCAATTCGTGCAGGAATAATTGTAAATAATCATGAGCTCACTCCTTTGGAAAAGCATGTTATGTTTTTCGATATCAATAATGATGGAATAATTTATCCTTCAGAAACGTATAAAGGTTTTTCCTTCTTTTCTTAGCTAGTCAACATTAAAAAGTCACTATTTTTTCGTTCAAATTTTTATTGGAAAATGTTCGGTAGTTATTTTTTCAGAATTTTTAGTTGAATTAATATGAAAACTGAAAAAAACAAAAGTATAATTGTTTCATATGAAAAAATTAGAAATGTTTTTCACCATGCATTTTTCGACTATGTTGATTCGAAATGAATGAAAAAATAATGTTCTCTAGCGTAAGTTTTCATTGATTTATGGTGGAAAAAATATTTGTTTCTATTAGTGAATTTAATAAATATAGAGTTCTTGTTTTCATTGATTTATGATGGAAAAAATATTTGTTTCTATTAGTGAATTTAATAAATATAGAGTTCTTTTTTTTTCCTTTTATTTTATACACTAATATATATTTTCTTTGACTTGTCTTAATTATTTTCTGATTTATAATTATTTTTTTCAGCTTTTAGAAAGATGGGGCGTGGTATTTTCCGTTCTATGTTTTCTGCTGTTCTCATTCATTTTAATCTCAGTTACAAGACTCGACCGGTAATTTTCACATATATATATATATTTATTTATTTATTTTCTCTATATATCGAGCATATTTTGGAAATAATATAGTTTTGGTACTTTTTTCTGAGTATATATTGTTATTTTTTTCTTCTATGTATGGTTTCATAATATAGTTTTGGTACTTTTTTAAAAAAATTGATATGATTTGTCAATGTGAATTTCTCTATTGACTTAGTAGTTAGATTAGGAACATGCACATTTGATAAAAAGGCAAAATTTATCTCCATTTGTTAAAAAATACATAAAAATAATAATTTATGTATAATATAAGAGTCAAGTAAAATGAAATGGACAGACAGAGTACTTTTTTTTTACGAAGTTCTTAAAGTAATTTAGAATTGATATTTTTCAAAGTAAAACTTAGGGAATTGAAAGTGGATCACAAATAAGTCATCTTTGGATATGATTTGTACTAATGTTCTCAACAATATAATTTATTCTAATTTTCTATGCTTTTTTTTTTGTGTGTCACAGGGGAAATGGCCATCTTTACTCTTCCCTATTGTGGTAGAAAATATTAAATATGCCATACATGGTAGTGATTCTGGTGCCTATGACTCTGAAGGGAGGTAAAATTCATGACTACCTTATAAATAATTAAATTCTGGTTATGTATAGATATCTAATCGATATTTTAATATATAAAAAAAATTAAGTAAAAATTAATGAGTTTTTGTAAATTCACACATAACATGCTGGATCCGCTCATGTGGACCAAAGTGACTATGTATAGTTACACTTGGTCAGTCAGGAGAGGCGCTAGGGTTTAGATGTTAGAGGTTTCATTTGAACTTCTTTCAACAGAAATTACACTGGTTATGTATATATAGTTGAACCTTCTTCGACTTTTTCGTGTGTTTACTTCTTCATATTTAATTAAATCCATCTTATTGAAAATTCTGACTCTGTCACTGACTTATTATTGTTCAAGGTTTGTGCCAGAGAAGTTTGAGGAGATCTTTAAGAAGCATGCAAATGAAAATGCAGATTCTTTGACCTACAATGAAGTGAAAGAAATGCTCAAAACCAATAGAAAACCAAAGGACTACTATGGATGGTATCCTCTCTTTCTTTGTTTCTTATTTGTCGTTACTCTCTCCGTCTCAATTTTCGTGATAGATCTGACCAGATACATCACTTAAAACTTAAGATAATATAATAATATACGATCTAAAACAATATTTTTGAGCATTAAACCTCTATACAAAGTGCAATTATACCTTTTTTTTTTTTTTGGTTAGATTGTTTTCCTTATTTTTTTAAAATTTGATTATAACTCAATTTTTTTATATGTGTAGGGCAAATGCTTTTGTAGATTGGAATTCTTTATATGATTTAGGCAAAAATAAGAATGAAAAATTGACAAAAGAAACTGTAAAAGCTCTGTATGATGGAAGTCTTTTTGAGCAAATAGCAAAGGAGCATGCTTCAAAATAGTGGATTCTATAGTTCCACTATATATTAATTAAGTTATTGTATTATGTTGTTAATGCTACTATTGTTGTTATAATGCTATATTTTTATTTTTATGCATTTGTAGTCTCCTTAAATTACTGAAAATAAATAAATCGAAAAGCTTTGTGTGAAAATTTTGTCTCTAATTATTATATACGTGAATCATTTTTTGCTTTTTGTCCTTTATTAAGAGATTCTATGATAAACGAAATTTTAAAATCACATAATTTGCAAGAATAAACGATTTTCCAAGGAACTTTGAAAATTCTAAAAAGAAGTGCCCATAATAAAAAAACGATAGAGGTTTGAAAATTCTGAAAAGAAGTGACACATAATAAAAATAGAAGAAATTTTAAAATCACATAATTTGCAAGAAGAAACGATTTTCCAAAGAGATTCGAAAATTTTAAAAAGAAGTGGCCCATGCAGGTCTCGAACCTGCGACCTTCGCGTTATTAGCACGACGCTCTAACCAACTGAGCTAATGGGCCAATTGCTTGCATATTCGTAGTATACGTATAAATTACTAGTAATACTGGTCAAACATAACATAATTTCAATTTTCAAATATTATTTTTCACTTCAAAATCAATTATTTTTTTTCAAATTTCGCAATGAAACATGACCAAAAGCTCAATTATTATGCCTCGTAATTTCAAGATATTCAATATAGAGGAACAACAAAATTGAAACTACATCACAAAATTTAATCCATTGAAAACAATTGCAAAGATTCTAGGCATGATATACATACGAAGTACATAATAATACATTGAATGCTTTAGATTTGAATACTAAGCTTTAATTCATATTGAATTCCCTCCATCTTCTGCTTTTTACTTTTTAATAATGATCACACTCGACTAAGACTACTACCAACTACACCATATTATATTGGTCAAACTCTTCAAAAATTCTTTTCGTGTGTCAAACCCTTCAAACACGCATAGCTTTTAAAGAATCTGACAAAGATACGACAATATCTTTTAAAGGATCCGAGCAACTTAGCCACCAAAAAGCCTTTGGAAGAAGTTCTACAAATAACTATCTTCTTTTACATACTCTGTAAACTCTGGTGAATTGCCAATTTGTAACTACTACACTATTATGTTATCTACAATAAATGCCAAAAACTTATGGAAACATCGAATACCTCCATTCGAGTTCCACAATGACACACAAGAAATGAGACACATTAAGAAAACAGACTAGGTACATGTTCATGTCTGTGTGAGTTTGTGTTTGTTCGTGCTCGTGCCCTGCATTTTTCTATGTGTCATGATAAAGGATGCATATTGATCATAGACTTTGAAGGAGCGCCCTTTTGCAAGATGGAGGTTTCGTGGTTCGATGAGGGGATGTAGACTCAACTCCAAGTGTCTTCAATAGGAATTGTCTCTCCTGAAAAATTATACGAAATTCAGCTAGTTTTGCACCAAAGTTAATATGATGCAAATGAAAAAGCACAGCTATGCTGGATGTAGTTCCGAATCATTACATAAAGCAATGAGTGCTTACACTTTCGGAGAATTTTGGGCTGGGAATTGCTTCAGCTAATGATCTGAATTGCGGAGTTACTTGGAGAGGAGAAGGATATTCACATCCATCTGTTGCTGATACATCATTGTGCTTCATTTCATCACAAACAGACCGAGTATCTGACGTTCAAAATTATCATTTTTATGAGAATAAAGCAATTCAGATTTCAGCTTTAGCTATTTAGAATAGTCACTATGTATTATGTAATATGAAATTCTTCGTCGTACCATGAGGGAATGATAGATCACAGAAAATTCCATTTTCCAACTCTTGTACTCCAGTTTGATCACTTATTTGAGAATTTTGCAAACCAGATTGAATCTCCTGATCATGCGTACACGTCTTAACTTGACTTTCTTCTGTTTTATTACTCAATGCACGCGACAGCTGAGTTGATCCGGTATTGTACTCTGAACTGTCACCAGACTCTTGAGATAAAGCAAGTTGCCTGTATGTACATCTACATTTTAGACTAGTTCTGCACTAGGAAAAATTAGCTTGTGCTAGTCAATACCTTTTAGATGATCGGTTCCTTTCGTTACTACTTGAGTTTGTTATCAGATTCTTATGAGTATTGTGTGCAGAATTCATCTCTGTATGCCGGAACTTGAGCATATCACCTTCCTTCATACGATGAAGAAAATCATCGACTACCTGCAAAATATTCAGATCATCCCATCAGAGACTGTGTTATCTATACCAAAAAGCACAAAAAAGGCTTTAAGGTCAGTTGAGGCTTTAAACGCAAATAAAGTGCAAAAGGCACAGTGGAGAAAACATACGATTATAACTATAAGCATGAATAACAAACATACAAACAAAGAAACAGAATTATTTTCGGATATAAAGTAAAATTTCAATTGTTTAGTGTCGCCTCTTTAGGACAAGCTCATTCGCAAGAAAAGTTTGTCTTAAAGCATTGATGATGACACTAAAGTACAAGTAAGCGAAGTGAAGAGCTCAATGTGTTTTGAGCCTCATGTCAAGGCTTAAGCACGCCTTTTACAGCTTATTGCATCCTCAACGAGATTACAAGTTCTGCAACCAGTAATGTAAAAAATAGCTTACCATCCAAGCATTTTCAAGACGCTGGTTACTGTTTTCCGAATTAACTTTGAGTGCCAGTGAGCCTTGTTGCATCAACATATTTCGATCATTCTTCTTAAGGACCGTTCCTTGAAAATCCATAGAAAGTCCGTTACATAATCAATGATATGTTCTCTCATCTAATATTCGACTATCCCTTTACAAAAGTTTACTGTCAAAGATTGTTACCATTTTCATATGTCTCTTTCAAGTTATTGACATTCTGAGCAAGCACTGCAAATGGATGTCTAACCGGTTGATTATTATTCGGACAATCATCAACCGAGCTTTCTATAGTACGGCTCCTCCTGCATCATGACGATTGTATGTTATATAATACATACCTTTTGTATCTCCGCGACATAATTGAACCAAGCTATATTCATTTTACCTCAGCTTCTTAGCGGAAACATCACATATTCTATCAGTATCGAGCTTATCTGATAACGTAACCCTGTTTTCTTCAGCCATTGCTTCATGTTTTGCTTTCTTTTTGCAGATTGTAGTGAACCTGTTCTTCACAGCATTATCCGTTCTGTATTAACGCGAAAAGAAAAAGGTAAACATTCCTAACAAAACACTGAAATTTCTAACAATTAGTACCAAAATACAATGCTGTTTTACCTGCCTGATACCACTTTGGCAATTTCAGTCCATCTGTTTCCAAAGATCTTTTGAGCCTGCAAATGCGCCAGCAATCTTTTTCTATAAGATATGTACATTGTAATCACAATTCATCATCATCAAATACTTATTCAGATTCAGACGTCTTAGTTCCAATAGAAACAAATGAGGTCTTAGAACACGTTTGTAAATGATTACAAAACCAAACCTCCCAAATAGAAACGCGACTTACTGTACAATGTTACAATCAACATAACATCATTTTACCGCGCATAAAAGCATATCTTCTTCGGGTGACCATCCTCCCTTTTTGAAATCGGAGTTCAAATAAGTGAACCATCTGCAGATTTTTTTAAAAAACACAATCACATTAGTTAACCAAAAGACAAACAAAAAAATACAGTAAATGAATAATGGAAAATGTCAAATACATAGAGAATATTTTGGAACAAACCTTCTTTTGCATTGTCTAGTTGTTTTATCCTTGAAGTTTGAAGCTATGATAGTCCAACTACATCATACATCATGAAGAAGAAAAAAATCATTTAGATTCAAAGGGCGGAGCTAGTAAGGGCTCAAGAAACGCAGAAAACTACACTGTATATATATATGGTTAAAATTATTTTTTACGTATATGTTTTAGATATTGAATCCCACTCGACTTAATCACGTGTTTATATCTTCATATTCTGAACCCTCTTAATGAAAATTTTGACTATGTTATCGTGGCAGCCTTCAATAACCATATGGACAAACTTTTTTGGTCTTATTAGATACCAAAAATATATGGCCCTTTTTTAAGATCATTGAAAATTTTCGAAGGTTGATTTCTTAGCTGGTAATTTAACTTATAGTAGTTATTATCTTGAAAAGTCATATTTCTTTCTTGATTTCAATTTGTCATTAACGAAAATGACTTTCTATAATAACTATTAGTCGAGTGATCATCTGAGAAATTAACTCTAAAAAAAATCGAAAGAATAAGTGACATTACTTGTCATCAATTCCATGAATACGAATTTGCTCTCGTAGTATATCGTCCTCCTGCAACTCAAAACAAATATCAATACAAGATGTAGCTGCATAAATCAAAGTATAAATCAAAGTGAATACTATAGTGGGACCGGCCTCCTTAGCATCAGGTGACCAAATATGCGATGCAATAAACACAACAACTCAAAAAGGACCAAAACAAATAAAACAATAACCAACCAATCAATCATGTCTTAATTCCAAATTAATTAGTGTCAAATAACCATAATAATAATAATAATAATTAGTACCTCTTGTGACCAAGACACAATATGTCTTTCTTTTGGTTTGGCTCCATCACAATTATTTCCTTTAGTCTTCTTCATTTTTCACAACTTATAATAAGTAGATTGTTATGTTACAAAAGAGCCTTTTGGATGAATAATTGATTTATATAGAAATGGCTTAGGGGACAAAAAGGGGGAAATAGTGTTTACACTACTTGGATACCTTTCACCTTGGATTCACTAGTTTATACTATTGGAATTCTATGCATAATGAATTCCAAAATTAGAAAAAATATTACTCCCTACTTCATTTATTTCTTAATAATGTTATATTAATGATCTTTAGGTAAAATTGAGCCACCTTTGGTTATAAATAATAAATTATACAATGATTTTATGTGATACTTAAATAAATCGTAATTCAATAATTTTAGTGAAACGAAATAAAAAATTAAGTGATCGTCTGTAAAATCAACCGATAAACTTTCATGTACTATCTTTCAAGTTAGTAATAAGTCAAAAGGATATACTAATCCAATATTTTCAAGAAAAGAAGGGGAGGGGGTGGGGGGAAATGTACTTGTACAAAACAAGCTTTCTAGAGAGGGAATCTATAGTTGCATGTAAAAGGAACATATGGAACCCTAGGTAAAAGTTTCTATGTTGGAAAAATGAATTCAAAGTTCGGTATAATACATAAATGTGTTATTTAATTTAGTCTTAGCTGATATCTATGTCTTCTAACTATGGATGTGCACAAGTAGGCATTTAAACTGTTATAAAATTAAAGAAGCATAGATATACGGCGTCATACATGTATTATGTCACATAAAATATATGTGTCTACTTGTTCAATTTTATATAAGTTTAAGTACCTATTTATGTACATCCAAAGTTGGAGATCATATATAAATGTCAATTGAAGCTAAATTAAAAGACATATTTAAGTATATATTATGTCATTCTAAGTAGTATGTATTAATATTTATATCTAGATCTTTCTTACCTATCACTTTATTTTATTTTATATATCTATATGGGAGCGTATGTGGTGTTGAAAAATTATGCTATCTCAAATGACATGTGATGATGTAGATTTAGAATCATATGATAAGAGTAATTATATTTCAATGGAGAATATATTCAACCCTAGAGCCAAATGTCTTAATGATGAACTTGAATGGTTTTCATTATTGCATTCTTAGATTTTTGAATTCAATTGACCACTTTTTGGTTTGGTCATATCTAAATAAAAACACAAACACAAAGAGGAGAGAAATTATGAACTTGAGTACTTTCATGAGGCACGTCCGTTAGTATAACATTTACTCAACACAAATAAAATGGATTACATTTATGGACATTTATAGACCATTATAATTCTAATATTCCATTATTATTATTATAGGGAAAAAGATCTGAAATATATTTAACCTTTGATCGATATTATTATCACGATACTAAGGTTTAAAAATGACCTTTTTACCCCTTTACACTATTTAATAATGTCTTTTGAAGGTATAAATGCCCACGTGGACATCATAAATATTGCGTCATTATAAATAGTAATGTGTCCATGTGGGCACATATATACCTTTAAAATATATTTCAAAATAGTGTAGGGGGTAAAAGGTTGTCCATAAAGTTTGATATCGTAACAGCAATTTCAACCAAAATTGAAAGTATTTTTCAGACCCTTTTCCCATTATTATAAGATGTGTGTTAGTTTATTTGTTATTTTATTTCATACTTTGCAAAGTCTAAAAAGATATTATTTTGTGGTTGAGATATCACATACTTCATTTGTAATTTTATATCTCACTCAATAGTCAATATTAGAGCTGTCAATATGGGCTAACCCACTCCATCTGGGCTAACCCTTACAGGCTTCGACATTTTACGGGTCAGGCCGGGCTAGTCCATTTTTGGTGTGGCCAAAAAACGACCGGCCAAATCCACAAGTACGTGGGCTACAGGCTTGTCGGGCCAGCCCACTTTATTTTAAAATTATATTATATTTAAAATTATTAAGTTAAATTATAAATTATAATTTAAAAATATTATCATAAATATCGACAAAATAATATTACATGATGTTAATGTTACTAGTTTATAATCAAATCCACAAATAAAATTATCTTTGTAATATTTATTAAGTTTTTTTTCAAGTAAAAGTATAAATATTTAAATAAAAATATTAACCTAATTGTTTTGAGTTTGTACTCTCTTTAACTTTAAATTTTAATATTATATTATATTTTTTAATTAATTTTTATTGGCCCACGGGCCGACCCTACCGATATTTCTCAAGCCTCATAAATCAACAGGCTTATTCAGGCCGGGCTAAAAAAATCCTTTTCTCAAATAGGCTTCAAAAATCGTAGCTCAGCCCTATTAAATCCCCGGCTAAACCAGACCGGCCAACAGGCCTAACCCTACCCCTATTAGGAAAAGAAAATTAAACAAATAGATATGATTTATTTTCTGCATTAGGCATGTGCTACAATGAAAATTATATTATATTTATAAAAAGTTCTATTAAGTAAATAAGTTTATAATTATGTTATATATATTCAGTTTTGAATATTTTAAATAAAATTTCTAATTTCGCCATTGACAATTATTTGTTCTTATAAAAATATTTGTTTATTTTATCGTACAACATTGAAAGTTTCACATATAACACTTTAAATGAATATGTACGATAACTTGTCAGTTCTTTTTAAAGGTAATTTTACTATGAAAGTAAAAAGTTAGGTAACAAATTATTTTTAAAAAAAATAGGTTAGGTAACAAATTATTTTTAAAAAAAATAGGTTAAGGTGTAAAATGGTATTAACTCGTAGATATGTGGTGGATAATGTTTTTACTAGCTAGCATTTCACATTTAATTAAAATCTATATAAAGACTACAAGTTCTAAATATTTTCTCACCACTTTCTTTCACAACATATTGCTATTCTTAAAAAAATAAAAAATATGGGTTTAAAAGGTAAGTTGATTGCTTCAGTGGAGATGAAGTGTGGAGAAGGCTCATTTTTCGATATTTTTCACATTAATACTAATCAGGTACCCAATATAAGTCCTAAAAATATCGTCCATTTTGGAATTCACGAAGGTGAAAGCGTTAAGACTGGTTCGATTGTTAGTTGGAAATACAACGAAGGTAACTCACCTTTTTTTGTACCCTATCTCTCTCTCTTAATATGATTTACTTGCATAAATTTTCTCTATTTAAAAATATTTGACAATAACTAATAAGAAAGTTTATTTTTAAGAGAAAAATCTTCATGAAAACATATTCGATGGTGTAAAAATTTCATAAATATAGTACAAGTAAATCCTTTTGCTTTTCAATGAAGGAATATAACTACTCATCACTCACTAATCTTTAATAATAATTAAAAAAAAAACTTATCAAAGCAGTAATAACATCACAAATATAATTTTCTCACCTAATAATATTTTGTAAATGTTTAAATTCTCCATAAGGTATTGAACAGTTGAACTAGTGATAACGATCTCTTGTATTTTCTGTTTATAATATGATTGTAGCTGGACAAGAAATGTATATGAAGCACTTAATTGAAGCTGCCGATCCTCAGCAGAAATTAATCAAATGGAAAGTTATCGAAGGAGATTTATTGAAGTTGTATAAATACTGTAATTTTACAACATCTTGTGATGGCCAGTGGACTACTTGGACAATTGACTACGAAAAGAAAACTGAAGATACCCCAGAACCCCTCCTTCACTTGGGTGTTATCCTTGCCATGACCAAGGATATAGAAAGTCACCTTCTCAAGAAATAATGTGTGTATGTGTGATGAATAATTTGGCTAGTTCTAGCTAGCATGTGGAATAATAAATAATATAATGTATGTGTGACTATGTAGATACACATTATAAGTATGTGTGTGTTGGTGTGATGAATATTTGGCTAGTTCTAGCCAGCATGTGGAATAAGTAATGTTTTTGATGAATATGTTATGTATATGTCACTAGAGCTAATATCATGCACAAAAGCATAAACATATATAAACTGATCAACCAATAACTTATAAGAATCATAGCAGAAGAATACTACGATGGCACATTATCTGCCAGAAAATAAGGAATTTCCAACTATTACATAAGAAAGACGTATCAATCGTCTGCAACATCCTTCGAAAGCCTGCAAAAAGTGAAGTGTTGAATCTTGATATCTGCCAACATGATCTCATCAAACACTAAAATGAACACACCAGTGAAATGAGCAATAACTCTACCTGCTTTTTGTTGTCGAGATTGGACCTCGCAACACAACCAACAAATGCAGAACACATCACATCTCCTAACAGGGGTATAAAGCTGTGTTGATAAAATAAAGGCACATCAGAGGAGCCACGGGGATACAGCAGACTCCATCAAAACAAACCAAAAGAATGAATCTACATATAACAGTTACCACTGTCAAAAAAAAAAGGAAACTACATGTAACTTGAATGTAGAGACTCGAGTGCCCCAAAAAACGCACCACAAAAGAGGCAGGTGTGATTGGGACAAGCGTCTCCCACCACGACAAGCACATCTTCTACAGAAATAGGTCCTAAAGTCCACAGAAGAATTTGAGATGTTAATTGCTAAGGGAAACCTCCAAAATTATAAGAAATGTTTGCCAAGAAGACATCAGAAAAGTTCTAAGGTGGCTTGGACTCAGAAGATAGAAAAAAATAACAACTGAGCTGTAGTTAAGGTGGAGCAACTGCAGGTGGTGAGACAAACACAAAATTAGTAACATAAACAAAAATGTGTGAACCCACAGTCATGGCATCTTTATAGACATAGAACTAGTAAACTTCCTGTTGTCCTCATGGATGATCACCAACATGCCAAAATCTGTAGTAGATACTCAGCCATCAGCTTGAAAAATAAAGATGATTAAATGCAGAAAGAAAAACTAAAGTACAAGACCAGTATAATCTCCCAAATAACATGAAAGAAGTATAGAGAATTCTTAAAACTCATAACAAGGATTAGATATGCCGAACAGTAGCAAAATAAACCTTTGAAGACCATGCCAAATAACTCCCCATTCATCTCTTTCTCCCACCACGTTCTCTTAGTGAGAGACCAAGTGTTTCTC